AAATAAAAATTAAAAAAAAAAAAAAAAAAAAAAAAAAAAAACCTAAATCTAAACTAAAAGCCAATAAAAAGCTTTTAACTCAGCATGAGATTTTACTTTGACTGTTTTTGTGCTTTCTACTGTCATAGTTATTCATGTATTGTTTTATTGTTTACCAAGTCAGTACAAGGTGGATACTACGTACCATTTTATTATTAATATCAATATCATCATATTGTCATGAGCTTGCATCCTTCACGACTCTCAAGGTACTATTGAGCAAGGCACCAGAACCCACCAGAAACTTAACTGAGCGTTTACCCAAGTCACTCTGATGTCTCTCCGTCCGTGCATATGCGTCGTCTGCTTTACTTTTTTTTTTTTTTTTTTAAACGTGTATAATGTTTCTTCCTTGCCCCTGACAGGAAGAGTTGAGTTTAATTACACTGCAACATTTGGTAAAGTGTGACAAGAAAAACGACCAATGAAACACCTTGTTGTTGTTGTTATTTATTGCCCAGACAGGCTGCCATCTGGTGAGGTGTGAAAACACTGACTTTCCTCAAAATTGGCACATCAAAAGCGGAACAGCTTAATAGACGTTTATCCGCCTGTGCCTTTTTGACGGAACTCAAAAGGCCAGGACATTGCCGTGTCTGTGTGTGAGAATTCAAACAGCCGTGAAACTCCTCCGCCCCTACGCACCCCAGGTCTGCGGACGAGACACTATTAGCGGTACCAAGAATGAAGTGGAGGGTCAAAGGGGATCGGGCCTTTTCCGTTGCTGGTCTCTCTTTTTGGAATGACCTCCCACTGAATGTTCGGCACGTATTCGATATGTGTTGGACAGCAACGATTGGGCGAGGGAATCGATTCTCTGGAGTCAAACTTCACACCCTCATCCCGTGACACACAGCTGTCGTTCAGCCGCTTTTATACCTATGGGACTACCTCGACAGCCGGCCGGAAAGGTCAACTTCAGTATTGGTACCTTACATAACCTCCTTCACCCTGCTAGAACCTCCAAACAAGCTCAAGGCCCATTTGTAGGAGAAACGTAGGGAAGTCAAGCTCCAAGCTTCATATCTCTCTGACCTTCTCCAAATCAACAATGCCACTTGTACTCGAAAGTCCGCCGAACCTACCTCCAGCATGTCTGTTCACTAAAATCATCCATCTTTGATACTCAACTTAAAACTCTTAAAAAAAAACAAAAAAACTAAAACTAAACTAAAAGCCAAAAAAAAGCTTTTAACTCAGCATGAGATTTTAATTTTACTTTGACTGTTTTTGTTTACCAAGTCAGTACAAGGTGGATACGACATACTATTTTATTATTAATATCAATGTCATCATATTGTCATGAGCTTGCATCCTTCACAACTCTCAAGGTACTATTGAGCAAGGCACCAGAACCCACCAGAAACTTAACTGAGCGTTTACCCAAATCACTCTGATGTCTCTCCGTGCATATGCGTCGTCTGCTTCACTTTTTTATTTATTTCTTTTTAAACGTGAATAATGTTTTTTCCTTGTCCCTGACAGGAAGCGTTGAGTTTAATTACACTGCAACATTTGGTAAAGTGCGTAGAGTTTTGTGAAATAATGTCATTAAATAGTGACAAGTCTTTGATCCTTGTTTCAATTCTTAATTTTATATACACTAGTGAGCAAGACCAAGAGGAAAAAGAAGTAAAAAAAAAATGTTTACGTGAAAGGGATGTCCGAAACGCAGACTCCAAAAAGCTACAAAAATGGACACACGTGTTTTTCGCAGGACGGCGATGACGTATGTACAGCTGGTCATGGAGAGACAGATCTGATCACGGATCCCTTATTGTGTCATGCTATCAAATTAGCAGAAAAATGATGCTTGCCATAAAATCTGAATGGAAAACAGATAAAGCATTTGATTTTACTGGTCAATATATATATATTTTTTTAAACATGCAAGTAAAACTGTCTCTTTTTTTTTTTTTGGCGCTGATTCCGAATCTCCCCTTGTTTTTCTGTAGCACATCAGGTTTTTTAATAACAATACTACCACTACTACTACTTCTACTACTACTACTACTAATCATAATAATAATACAAAAGGTAATGTAGTAATATATTTTGAAAGATTTATGAAGGGTTAGGTTCAGTAAAAGGTAGAATTTCTTTTTTTCTGAAATGTCGCAGCACAAGCTTTTGAAGGTCAAACTTCAAAACAACACAAAAATATCGCAAAAACCAAATGTGCTTGGAACATTTTTTTTCAATCAGCGGCAAAAATATTTTGAAGAAGACATAAGCCAACTCTGTTTATTTTATCGCTGTTGACCGGTGTTATTTGCACACAAATCATTTTCGAGTGGTGCTTGATGAAAACTTACATGGTACCCCTTAAGGTGACCTCTCAGTGTGGCCGGTGGAACTGGGGTCCAGCTTACTCTCAGAACAGTTGTATTCATCACCTCCACTGCGACATCCCGCGGTGCGGCGGTGGGAACTAAAGGACACATGGAGGGAGGTCACGCAACTCTCCAGAGACTCACAAAGTCTCGTTACACTACAGTCAAGCGCAGGAAAATTACTGCACAGAAATGTTGGTGCAACTGTTTTTGGTCGAGCTGCTAACGGTGGTACAATATGAGCAGGCATTTATATTTGAAAGCATAATGGCCCGAATCATCTTTTAAGTGGAGGGGAGGCAGGGGGAGGGACACCAAAAAAAGAGCTCTACATTTTTTCTGCTCTACGTGGTTGCTGGACAGGATGGAAGCAAAGCAGAAACTAGAAGCAGCAGCATCACGTCTCGGTTAGTCTATACGTTGCGGAGCGCCTCGTGATCTAATAAAGGTCGCACAGATTTTGAGACAGAGGCGGTACATTTCAGATCTCACAGCTCCACAAAAGGTTATTTGCCACCTGCTGCATTTGAGGGTGGGAAAAGTCACTACAGCACAGCTGCACAAGCAAACAGAAAAAAAA